TTCTTTTTTTTCTATAGATACTTGTTGCTTTGAGGAATTTACACTTCAAGAATATTGTGCACTGTGATTTAAAACCAGAAAATGTACTACTAGCATCAGCAGAGCCATTCCCTCAAGTAAGTGAAGACTAAGAAATACTCATTTCCTCACTTTGTGGTTTTTGGTGGTTTTTTTTTTTGGTCTCCGTTTTGGTGCATACGATATTTAAACGATGACAGGAATAGAACTAAGTACCACCCTGGTTTTGCTCAGTAGTACACTTGGGAGATCAGCCAGAGATTTCTCAGTTTAAAATACATTTCTTTTGCAGGTGAAGCTGTGTGATTTTGGCTTTGCACGTATCATTGGTGAAAAATCTTTCAGGCGTTCTGTGGTGGGGACACCTGCTTATCTTGCCCCTGAAGTGCTCAGGAGTAAAGGTTACAACCGCTCCCTAGACATGTGGTCTGTTGGAGTTATTGTCTATGTGAGCCTTAGTGGTACATTCCCATTTAACGAAGATGAGGATATAAATGATCAGATTCAAAATGCAGCATTTATGTACCCACCCAATCCTTGGAAGGAAATCTCTAGTGAAGGTAAAGAAATGAACTTTCTTTATTAGAACATCTTCATGCATAGATAGTGCATCCAAGTGCTTAAACCACAAGGTTCATTGAGAGAGCAATGCAAAAATCTTGAGTAGTTTGGGTTTTGTGGGCTATGCCAAAATGGCTAAATGTGAGCTGGCATAGACATAGGAAAGGTGAAATGTTACATACAGTGTCTTGGATCGTTTTCAGAAAAGAAAGAGCCAGAAGATTTTGTGGGGGAAAAACCGATGTAATGACTTGATTGCGTTCATAGAGAGTGGGATAAATAACCTCAAATTCCTCAGAAATCCCAATGATCTTGCCTGAGTATTTGCTGAACACTGATGTCATAAAACCTACTTTATCTAAACGATGATATCATTACAGAAATGGTTCAAAGTTGAATATGGAATTTTGTTTTGTACATTAATAAGTAAAGCAAAACCTGGATCTGTATTATTCAGATCTGAACAGTCTGGAAATGTATGAGGTTGGTCTTCAGAACTTTCTAATGCCAACTTTGTTAATCATATAAACGTGACTATATGATCACACAAGCATGATTATATGATTAACACACAGCTAAGTGTGAAAGGACACACAAAAAATTACACAAATAGTGTAATTACCTTTGTCATGTTGCAACACAGGATTATGCTCAAGCTTTACTTAAACACTTCTGAGAATTACTGAAATTTTAACAGGTAATATAATAAAGCTTTTATTGTTTCTGTCAAAGGAAAAAAAAACAACATTAAAAACAAACCTCCCCATGCCTATTTTGTAGCCTAATTTAATATAAGCAAAGCCACGTATAAAATTCAGGGGCTTGATTCACTTTAGAAGAGTTCAGTAGTGTATGCACAATTCACTTTCACTGCAGCATGTGGAAGATGTGATTAATATTCAAACAATATATTTTTTTCTGTTTCTCATTGTTAGCCATTGATTTAATAAACAATTTGCTTCAAGTCAAGATGAGGAAGCGTTTCAGTGTTGACAAATCCCTTAGTCACCCGTGGTTACAGGTAAAATGATGTGTCTTCATCCCTATGCTTATAATGGACAAATAACAATTGTTTGTATGAAATCCTTCACAAGCTTAGTAAAACTACTAGTAAAGGTTGTAAAGAAACACTCATGCAGTATTTCTGGTTTTGGCTTAATATTTTACATGCTTCATTACTCTGCCCATTTCTTAGTGGTTTTCACTCCAAAGGAAAAATTGTTCATTGCTCTCCCCTTCCTTCTTATTCACTGCCTGATGCTAACATGGAGTTCCACTTTTCTGTTGCTTCTGAATAGAGGCAGTGATGAATGTGTGGAGTCTCAATGAGAACAGCACAGACACACATTGTTCAGTGCTAAAGATGACTCACAAACTAGGGGGTGCTGTAGTTTATAGCTATTTTAGAAGAGAACTGTTTGAAATAGAATGTAATAAGTAACCTAAAAGACATTGTACAACTTAGAAGACATTAAGGGGAAAATCCAATTAAATAAACAGTACAAACAGTACTGGAACCAGTATCACTTTATGTATGTATACATATAAATAGTAGTACAGTTAGTTTTATAATAAAACTCTCTTATCTGTCTTCTAGCAGTCTTCATGATTTCTAATGCTACAGCCTTGGGAACTAGCCTACTTAATTTGGAACCCTTCTTTTTTTGTTGTACTCTGTCCTGTTGGTTTTATCTTGTTATTTATATTAAAAGAGACAAATTGCTGAATTTATCTTTGGAAATATAAGGCTGCTGTTTCTTGAACTGCTTCATTAACTCTTCTGCTCCTTAGGATTATCAGACTTGGCTTGACCTCAGAGAGTTTGAAACACGCATTGGAGAGCGTTACATTACCCATGAGAGTGATGATGCACGCTGGAAGGAACATGCGTATGAACACAACCTTGAATACCCCCAGCATTTTATTATGGCTCCGAATCCAGATGACATGGAAGAGGACCCTTGATTTAGTCATATTGCTAAACTGCAGCAAGGGCCGACACTCCAGACAGAAATTGAAGATAAGTTTTGGAACAATTGTCGCTCTTTCTGAATGCTTTAATGTAGTTCAGTGTACAGAGCCTCAGAGGATCCTGTGTTGACGTGGGAATAGACTGTCATCCAACAAGCTTTCTTCCAGCTCTGACCTAAACTATGAATGGTTATTGGACAGTGGGATAAGCCCATTGGGTAACGCTGCACGCAGCTGTATGGCTACAAGGCCATTACTGAAGTCTGATGTGTACAGATAGAATGCTTTGCGTTTTTCAAGGTTTTCTTTTTTTCTTTTTTTTTTTTTGTAGCCTACACAGTAAGAATTTTGTAATGGTTTTCTAATCCCTATTTATCCCTATTTACTAGGCCATAGAGAACTGTTTTTTGTTACTTAGATACATCTCCTGTTTCTTAGACTGTGCATTGTAAAAAGAGATTGTAAAAGGAAATCAGTGCAGAATACATTAGCTAATAGAAAAACATGGCAGTTCAAGGTTGAATATGGCTTCATAGGTGAAGGAGTAATTTGCTGCTCTTAAGACAGTTGGGTGTGTCTGTCTTTGGCCTAACTGAACTTCTTCCAGATACCAAAAAAGAAAGAGAAAACATGCAACTTCTTACATTCCTCTTGAAATGCTGGCTGACAATCTGAAAAGACGACAATCAGAGCTGTGCTCATCCTATATTTTGTCTGGTAAAACAGAGCAATAAGCCACAGTATTGTGTTGCTATGCAAGGCTGATGCGTGTCATTGATACACACCAAAGGTATTTTGCCTTAAAACTACATCAGTAGTGCAGAGAGCACAAGACTTGATGTAGCTTATCCTTTCTCTCTGGAAAAAGTTTATAGCAGAAAGATGTGGAAAAATAGGGAAAAACATATGCAGCTTTCTTCTGTTGTTTGGAATAATGATGTTTTTAAATTTTCTAGTATTTTTCTAATTTTTTAAGGTTCCCTCAACTAACATCAGGAATAGTTTATAGCTTGCTAGCTTGTATCTTAATTCTGTTCCATACTTGGATATGACAAAATCACCTGTTGCTTCCACCACGGCAGCTAGACTGGAAGAGAAAGGGCTTTCCCTTCCTTGCAACCTTTACCTGCAGCCTCTTCTCTCCCTGTTGTGCTCAGAACTGTTTTGAGCTGAATGGAGAGTCCAAAACCACTCCCTAATTCAGTTTTTTTTGCAGATGCCCCAGTTGATGGATTCCCAACTATTTACTGGACCTTGGCACAAAAGAGGAAGCAGTAATATTCTTTGGAAATGATTCCCTAGGAGCATAGTTAAAATTGACTGTATTTCAGGGAAGTTTGAGACCTTGAGTGCTAAATGCAGATGGAAGAGGGTGTTTTTTCTTCTCACCTATTAAAAAAAGTGGGAAGAAAAGATTTCCTTTTGTGTGGATCAGCTGCGTTGTGCTGCTGTGGAAGGTGCTGGGTGGCTCTACACATCTCTGATATGCCAAGCTACGTAAGTGCAACTGAAAATACCTTAACACTTATATAGACTTGAACTGCAAAGGTGGGGGGGTGCTTTGAAGTAGCTCCTTTCTCTCCTACAATTTTTTTTGTGTGTATGTAGAGAGATATTTCTTTTTTTTTCCTCCTAGTGTTGTTCAGGTAAGGAAACAGGTGAGCGGATTTACTCTAAGCTGTTAGATATCACAGAACTTTACCAAGGTGTTTTGGTGCTGGGATCTGCCTGCAGTGACAGTAAACTGGTAATAAGGTCAGTGGCAGCTGCAGAAGTGTATATGTGGGCAGGCTTGAGTTCTGAATGTCCCTTTACTTTTCCAGTTGCCCTTAGTATAACTGCTGTTTTACAAGTATCTAAGTAATTTAAAGCTGAAGTCTGGCTTCCCTGTTAAAATACACCTAACTTTGCAGAAAAAACTTGATTGAATCTACACAGCAGTTTGCTACAGCTACCAGTAGGCAGAGTATTTCTGGAGTATTTCTGCCTTCCTACCATCATGCATCCTTTCTCCTAGCACATTATTCTCAGGTTTGTGCAGGGATGAGCCTGATGGGAGACTGTGCCACTCCTGCGCTGGGGGAGGTCATTCTTTCACTTTCATGCAGTCAAAGCAGTGTAAAGGAATCTGAAAAGGGCAGAATTTGACCCTTAACCTTGCTCTCCTGCTTAGGTGAGGTTTTGGGACTGATTCTTCTTCAAGAGGCACTATTTTTTTAATCTTTGGAAACAGAACAATCACATATGAAGTTGGTAGTCTAGTATTGGCTCAGGCGTGGCAAGGGAAGCAATCTTTCTTTTTTTTTCCCCCCCTCTAACTTCCACCACCCAACTGACTAAGTTTCAGTGAAGCCATTGCTATCTTCCATTCCAGCTGTAATAATATAAATACAGTCTGGTTTTAAGCTTTCGATTTTAAACTTGAGTTGTCACTGTCTATTGTTTTTTTGTTTTTTTTTTTAAAGGGAGAAAAGAAGCCAGCTTGGTTGCTTGAAAAGTACAACACGAGAGGAAGGGGTTACAGTAAGAAATAAGGCCTGACTGATGTCTCTCCCCAAGAAGTCTGCTTTGTGCTGCAAAAAAAATAAAAATGATATTAGCTATTTATTCTTAACTTGTATTAAAAAGAATGCTGTTAGCCTTTGGAGTGGTTTGCCTGATGATACATGCACATATGCAGACTTAGGGGCCAGACAATGGAAGCCACAAGCTGGCAGCTGAGGAACCAAAAAAATCAGACATGCATTATAAATAAACGTTTTTCATTGAGTAGCAAAAATAGCTGAATTTCTTTATTCCCTTTTTTCTACCCTTACTGCAAACTTTGACAGCAGTAGGTTATAGTGTTTAATATCCTTACCCCTAGATGAATTAAGTTGCATTCAACATTGCTATGATGATGCTAGAAAAAAAGCTCATGTAAAATTTTATAGCCTCAAATGGACACTGTCAAGTACTTTTATATTTTTATACATCCAATTGTTTGTAAATATCCTCTGATAAGCTTGAAAATAAAATTTATTTCCCTATCAGACTTGTTCCTTGTATTTATATGAACTCTTTCTCCTGTAAACTTTTCTTAGAAGCTTCTTCATACTTTCTTGTTGGTGAACCAGTCTGGCATTAGATATACTCTGTTGTGGGAATTCCGTTAGCAGTTGCTTTCTGACAAATAACTTCTTTGCATGCTTCCTATTACCATTCTTATAAAAACATCTTCAAAGATGCCAAGACATGTTGTTTTGAGTGAGTACCTCAGCTGCGTGCAGCTAACGTCAGTGACAAACATGATCTGATAGACAAGTTTTAACTTGATTCCTCTACACAGTATTACTCTCAGCTCAGTAGTAAGACCCTGAAACGATGTTCATTCTCAGATCAGTGTGCACTGATTTCCTGATATCTACACATATGGTTTAAGTCGGTCAGTCAGTAAGAACACTGTGTTGCAACAGATGTACTCTGAAAGCACTCTCTTTCAAAACATGCCTAGGCTCTGGAATGTAGGTTGGTATGAGACTGGTTGGTAAGAGGAAAATTGCCTGGAAAAAGTGTGACATTTCAGGTTCCTTCAGTTTAAAGATAAATCAAAATGTTTAGTTGTTACCTTACTGCTTACTATTGCAAAACATTTAGTACATGAAAATATAAAATGCACAGGACTTGATTGCTTTAACTTTAAATTTTTTTTTTTTTGTTTAATAGGTTGCTGCTGAAAGTTACCACTGTTACACATCTCAGTACAGTAATTGAAATTATTTGTGACTGAGCTTACTTCAGTGAGAGTTCACTAAATCCAGCAACAGGTGGTAGGGGAGATTTGGATTGTGGATTATCTTTCTTTGTAGGACGTACAACTCTGTGATAAGGCAGTAAGGCAAAAAAATGAAAACAGTCTCCCATTTTCTTAGGGTTCATCAACATATCAAAGCTGTGGAGCAATTGCTCATGAGTTGCTGAGTCGCGTGAATTCTGCAAGAGCACCTAAAAAGAAAAAGAAGGTAGGCTGTAGCCTTTCCTGCTTCCCTATACATTCCCTCATACCTGTAATCTGCCCTTGCATCCTTCCATCTGTCCTAGTGTAACAGTCCCATACTGTTCAGTAGAACAGGTGAGCACTGGTGGAACTCACACAGTAAGTACATACCAAAGTTTTGCATTAAATACTCCTAGAAGGAGTATGATGAGTTCACTTTGAGGGCTCCAAAGTAATATATATCTAAGGGAGGCAACTCTATGCTACCTCAGACCAACAAGTCATTTTTTAACAACTTTTAATAAGATTCTGATTGTAAAGCAGCTCTCTTGCTGCTTGAGAGTGCTGCCAGTGGATGAGGAGTGCACTATATACTGCAAACACTATTGTACCTGCAATCGGAGGTCAATGCCCATGTTTTTTAAAAACTCTCGTTGTTTTATGGGGCCCAAAGTTGCTGTTATTCCCTCTGCCATCTTTCGAAGATAACTGAAATCAACATCTGCTGTCAGGTCTGCTGTACCTGGCGCTTTCAGTACATCATGAAGTTTGTGATTCCGGAAACCCTGAAAAATTAAATTGCAAGATTACACTCAGGTGTATTCCTGGCTATCAAAGATGTAAGTGTAGCAGGGGCTCAAGTTATGCTTCCTACCAGACAGAAACCCTGAAAGGAACTGATTAAATGAGAACTCAATTACACTATTTTATAGCTGTGGCAACAGTACAGTTTTCTGTTATAATGTCCAACTAATTTTTTTTTTTTGCACCAGAACTTAAATGATCCAAGGGAGAAAGAAAAGATAATGGAGTATTTTAGCGTAGTACTTCTGGACTTACTCGGAACGTGTCAGTTTTTGTTCCATCGTGACCATAATCAGCAATCAGTGCAGCCCCACCATCCTTTTCTATACGACAGGCAAGCCTCTGGATGAGGACGCCAGCCTCAGGACATACTTCCACATGATCTCGTGTTTCTTCAGGCTAGTGCAGAGTTCAAAGACCAAAATACCTGTATTAGCAAAAAAAAGTACAGGGCAAGAGTATTCCACACGTGTCTTGTTGTCACTCATCACTGGGCACAGAGATACAGGGGTACAGTCCAGGCTACCTATAGCTTGAGCTAGTTTTTGCTAATGGTCTCTCTTTCAATTAGAGTTTTCCAAGTTCTCAATTTCTTTCATCTCCTGTACAGCCTACTCACTGGAATGACGTTTTGTAACAAATGAGAATACCTGCATAGAGTGGAACTGCATTACTGTGGTAATAAAAATTAGAAACAACACTACAGCCACGCATACACTTCAGAAAAACCTTTGTGTTAAATCTTGCAGTTGGTTTTAATCTCAATTAAGAATCCAGTGAATTTTAGAGAGAAAAAGTCTTAGACACCTGCTGTTAAACATCAGTATGGCATGTGTACCTAGTGAGTATGTACACAGAAGGCTGAGAGCCTGGCTTAGGTAGAGCCAGTGTTGAGAGGGTGATGTGACAAACCCAACACAGAACTGCTTGCTGCATCCATAAAACATCTAAGACCCGATTCTGCTAAACTTGATGTACATGTTTATTGTTGTGCTATACTTTCAAAGCACACAAGGTTTAATGCTGGTGGAAGCTTTGTAAAGTAAGAACTGTAAGCTGTGCTTAGTCACTGATGGATGGAGAGGCATCATCTTCCTGTCAAAGTAACTGAGAGGCAATATGTGACTTTAAAGAGACAGTAATGACCTATACAAACTCTGACAGGTGTAACCTTACCTGAATAAAGTTTTCTGTTGCAGGGGTCCTGGATGGTGACAGGACAAAGCGCAGCTGGTCAGGGACTTCTGGATCTATATCAACCAACACTTCATGCCAGCCTTTCTCTGTTCTCTGTTTAATTAACCCAGAGTACTCATTTTACACTCTAATAGGTGCACAGTATCTTGTTTCGTTGACTGAACTACTCTGCCAATCGTTTTCTCAAAAGTTCTAATTAAGAACATAATGTGCAATTAATTTACTTGTTATAAGTTACTTGTTGCTAATTAATTTCAGTGACTGCCTTTGAAAAGTGTGTGATAGAAACTGGTCAGTAGATTTACTAAGTCCAGGTTGAATTAAAAGGAATAAATGGTGCTGTTGAGAATAATTCTTTTGACAATTCACTGTTTAACTTACTAAAATAAAATTATTCTAGCAATAATTTTTCATAAATATTCTGAAAGTGAAGTTGAAAGTTTCTTCTGAATCGCATCTAGACTTCATTTAGCTATTCACATTGCCGCTAGTGGTACACAAAATAGTGCTGAACTAGAAACCTTATTCATGTTGTGTAGGAAATGAAGAAAAAAAAATGACTTGTCTAAGCAAAAAGAAGTCTTTTTCTAAAGAGTTTTCTCCATGCAAGAACAATTGCTAACTTTACAGCTGTCAAGTGAATTAAAGCCTTATTTGTCCAAGCTTAGTTAGAAACATTTCATCACCATAGCCAATGCATGTGTCTGGTTTGTTACCATCACTCTATTCTTCTCCAAAGAGAAAAGGTCATTAAGTATACAGTCACATTTACCGTATTCTTCTTGCTATACCTGAAACTTATGTATTGGCAGGGCATCCAGAAACTCATGCGCTAAGTAAAAACTGTAACCTGGAGGAAGGTTAAAAAAAAAAAAAAAATCAAATATTAAATTAGATTAAATCATTAACGCTTTTGTAGCAGTTTCTAATGGGAAATTAAAAATTATTATTTTTTTTAAATGTCTAAAGCATTATGCTAGTTAATGGCACTGTGAAATAATTATTATTCCCAGCTTGGATACATTAAAGGCAACATTTCTACAGCTAGCTATAGTTTCCAGTGCATAGTTGTTGTTTTTTTTTTTTTGTTTGTTTGTTTGTTTTAAGATCTGTATCTCATGAAAGGACTATTGTAGTTCCTGTGCCATTATTTAGGCAAAAACACTCAATGGTTTCTCAGGTGAAGAAAAATTTGGAATATATGAAATTGGGTAGCTATCCCAAACTGAAGTTATGATTCTCATTAATAAGCTTAAGTACCTGCCTTGGATTCATACATACTAGCTCCTAATTCTTGCATAACTGCCTTTTTTTTTTATCCACGAGGAAGGTTAGCAGAGCTGTCCTTGGTTATCGCTGTAACAGGATGTTCAAGCCCCTTACCTTGCGGTACATCCTGAATGTCTCTGTACCAGTAAATGGGAATTCCAGTCTTGCTAATGCCTTTCATGTATGCAGATTTGTTCTCAGGGTTTGACTGCACCTTTCCTCCTGTCAGCATCTCTGCTTGGATTGCACTGAGTTTAGGACTTACTTCTACCAGATGAACAGAGACGTCACATTTACTAAGTAAAGAGGCAAGCTGGTTGAAGACCTGCAAAGGCAGAGAAGTTCTATAAGGTACAGTCATATTCTGTATACCTTCAAGAGTAAAGAATAAACATGATGTAATTAAGGGTTAAGGATAAGACTGAATTAGCTTTCATTCACTAAAACGCTCTCAGTTAAGAAGACTGCATTTTGCTTCTCCAGAAGGAAAACAAAATAATATAATAGAATATAATAAAAGCTGCTACAGTTCTAACAGAGTTGGAGGACTATAACATACATTTATAATAATAAGGACATGAAATGTTAATCACTTTAAAGCTCCAACTCTTTTAAATTAACTTCTCTAATATCTGTAGAGCATTTAGCACTGAAAGAAAAACAGCTCTGTTTTCCCAAACAGCATAAGCAAAACATGTTCAATATTACATATTTCCCTGTGCAGACTTTTATCATTAACACATAAATCTGAAACTTCTGAGATACTAAATCCCATTATCATTGTGTTTTTGAATTACTAGTATGTTAATTACTTGATAGCCATGCTCCAGTATAAGAACAAGGAGGATTAACTCAAGCAAGAAACCCAATAAGCCCCTGAAAACCTGGAGGAACCCAGCACGGATTCATTCCTGCACTTGTCCTCTCTGCTCCCTGCTGTTGCAGGCACTGAGGCCTCACACTTATGCGAGCCTGGATAATATATTCTCATACATAAGCTGTGATGGAATATTCCTGCCCTCCCTGTCAAGCAGTGTTTGTGTGGTTACATGTGTGCCTGCACTGTCCTGCTGTTCGTACAGAACCCTGGACCCTTCTCTAAACAGTACAGACAAACGTGTGTTTTAGTTAGAGTCAATGCTGCAAATCTGACTGCAGTGATATGGCTACTAAAGAACATTAAACTCCAGCAGAATCTTACTTCTTTAGATCACAGTGCAGCCACTGAATAAGGCCAGAAATAGGGAGCATTACGGTTCACCTACCCGCAATATATCGTCTGTGAGGGTGCCTGTCCCAGGGCCCAGTTCCACCAGCTGGAATGCATTCTGTTTGCCCATGGCCATCCACTCACTAATGTACCATATTCCTATTAACTGATAGAAACAACACAAAGAGATACACTTTAACTCCAGAATCTGTGGAAAGTGACACCTGCCTTCTGCCTGGTAATAGCCAGGAGTGGCAAAACGTTCTCTCAGAACTTACAGATGGTGTCCCAAACTATATAACCAGAAAGGGCTTCCCAGTCTCCTGCAAAAACAAGCCGCTCTCCCAGACCAGGTCCTCTTTCATAGAATCAGAGACTCATTAAGGCTGAAAAGACTGTGACAATCATCTAGTCCAGCCACCAACCCATCCCCACATCCCACAGTGCCGCATCCACGGCTCCTGAACACCTTCCATGGACGGTGGCTGCACCACCTCCCTGGGCAGCCTGTGCCACTGCCTCATCCCTCTTTTCAATCGGTTTTTCCTAATATCCAACCTGAACCTCCCCTGGCACAACTTAAGGCCTCCACCTCTCATCCTATCGCTGTTACCCAGAGGAAGAGGCCGACCCCACCTCACCACAACCTTCTTTCAGGTTGCCGTAGATAAGGTCTCCCCTGGGTGTCCCCGTCTCCAGACTGAACCGCCCCAGTTCTCTCAGCCGTGCTCCCTAACTAACGCCTGCGCTCCGGATCCCTCACACCTTCGCTGCCGTTCCCTCAGGGCCTCAATGGACTTTTTGACCCAAAACGCAACGCGGCAGTGGAGACGCAGCCTCCAATCTTTCGGCGAGCGCCTTCCAACGGAACGAAACCTAAGCGTCGCCGAGCGGAACGCGAGGGCCGCGCGTCACCTCTCCAAATATCTGGCTGATCTCCGGCGAGGTGACGAAGTCCTCTCCGACGCCGCCACGCCGCGTGTAGTAGCCCTGCGGGGGGAGGAGATGAGCGCCGAAGGGCCGCAGCGCTCGGCTCGGCCCCCGCCCGGCCCCGCCGCACCTGCCCGGGGTTGGTGAGCGCTTCCCGCATGTACTCCGCCACCGTCACCGGCCCGGCGGCGCGCAGCTTCAGCAGCAGATGCCGCAGCACTCCGCCGGCCTCCTCCTCGCCTCCCGCGCGCGAACGGAGCCGCGCCGCCAACGGCGCTAGGAGAGACGAGGGGAGCCGACGGCGGCCGGCGAGGCGCGGGGCCGCGGCCAGGAGCGCGCGGCACGCCGGCGGCAGCGGCATGACGGGCTGCGGCACCGCTGGCCGCTCCGTCGCGCCGGAAGCGGGCGCTGCGCCTGCGTCGCCGAGCCGCCTTCCTGCGGGTGCCATGGCCGCGCTCGGGGAGTGGGGCGTGAGGCGGCGGCCGGAGGAGGCGGCCGGCTACGAACTGGACGAAGATGATGACGACGGTGGCGGTGGAGATGCCGATGGGTTCACGCTGGACGAGGTGCTTCGCCTCGGCGGCACCAAGGTGAGGGGAGGCGGGAGGGAGCGGGAGCGCGTGGGGCCCGCGTGTGAGCCGCGTGTAACCGCCTCGCTGCCGCCCGCAGCAAGACTTCCTCATGCTGTGCGCCGTGGACGAGGCGGAGGAGATGGTGGACGGCGGCAAGAAAGGTGCCATCGACGATCTGAAGGAGGGGGAGCTGGAGGCCTTCATCGGCTCCTTGGGGCTTGGCAAGTATGCAAAGAGCTGCCTGGATGAGGAGGAGGAGGAGGAAGAGGAGGAGGAAAAGGTTGGCAGAGAGAAAGCGAAGACCCCAAAGAAAGAGAAAAGCAAGAAGGAGAAAAGCAAGGAGAAAAGCAAGAAGGAAACAAGTTTTCCTTCATCAGAAGGGAAAAAGGAAAAAAAAGCCGAAGAGCAAGTGAGCAGTAGAAAAGACAGCAAGAAGAAGTTAGCACGCCAGCAGCAATCAGTACAGAAGGAGAGGCTGGAAGAAGACTTCACATTTCATGCTAGGGAGGTGATACTGGTCAAACCTGGCGGCAAGTGGTACGACCTGGAGTACACCGGTGAGACTTCTGCTGAGCCGCAGGATCCAGCCCTCCTGTCCCAGTACAAGGCCTTGGCCCAAAAGCTGTACCAGCACGAGACAGAGCTGTACAAGAACAAGACGGAGTATCAGAAGGGGGCCTCGTCGGCGTGGATGAAAACCGTCGTGTCATCAGGCACCCTCGCTGACAGGATGGCAGCCATGACCCTCCTCATTCAGGACAGCGCTGTCCACAGTCTCCATTTTGTTGAGAACTTGGTGAACCTCATAAAGAAGAAGGGCAGCAGGCAACAGAGCCTCATGGCTCTGGACACTTTCAGAGAGCTTCTCCTTTCAGATCTCTTACCGGATACTCGCAAGCTGTGGTCTTTCTCACAGCGTCCATTTAACAACATAGAGAAAATGTCGAGTGGCAACAGAGATTCAAGGGACAGGCGGCTGATACTATGGTACTTTGAGCACCAGCTGAAGCTGCAGGTGGCAGAGTTTGTGCAGACCTTGGAAATACTGAGCCATGATTCCCTGACAGCAACAAAAACCCGAGCGCTGGCAGCTGCCCATGAGCTTCTCTGCAACAAACCTGAGCAGGAGAAATTTCTGCTTGTTCAGCTGGTAAATAAACTGGGAGACCCTCAGAACAAAATAGCCACCAAAGCCTCTTATCTTCTAGAGACTTTACTTCACAAGCATCCAAATATGAAAGGGGTGGTGTGCAGTGAGGTGGAGAGACTTTTGTACCGCACAAACATCAGTGCAAAGACTCAGTATTATGCCATGTGCTTTTTAAATCAGATAGTCCTCAGTCATGAAGAAACTCCATTGGCCAACAAGCTGATATCTTTGTATTTCTGTTTTTTTCGGAACTGCATTAAAAAAAAAGATGTTGAATCCAAAATGCTCAGCGCTCTTCTTAGCGGGGTAAACAGAGCTTACCCTTACGCTGAGATTGGTGATGAGAAAGTGAAAGAACAGATGAACACCTTGTTTAAAGTTCTGCACCTTGTGAACTTCAGCACCAGCGTCCAGGCCCTGATGTTACTGTTCCAGGTTATGGACTCCCAGCAGACTGTATCCGATAGGTACTACGCAGCGCTGTATAAGTAAGTGACAGGTTTGGATCTTTGCTAAAAGCTTAACTGCCATTAAGATTTTGCAAACTTTCTGTCCCACTGGATAAACATTTCTGATATTTACTATGAGCTAGAAAATAACATACGTAATTTTTTTTTAACTTAACATGGGGATAAAGGATAGTGGGCGGTTGTGAGAATGTGACTTTGCACTGTTTTCTGGCAGCATGTTTTAATTCCAGATACATTTTAACACTATTTGATAATTACTTATTCTGAAATCACTTTTACAGACAGTGTGTTTTAGTGATGTAATAGCCCAAAATCCTGTTGTCTGTTTTTCATAAGGGAAGAAAACTCTATGTCAACATGATCCCTAGATGACTTAATTTGTTGAGTTGCGAAAATTTGTGTTCTAAAGTAATCTCCTTTTTGATCCTAGCTGATTATTTAGACACTTGGTAGGATCCTTACAGGCTTCTATTTAGTTGATGCTGATTTTATAAAGGGAACTTGGGTTCCCCAAGACCTTGCAATGCATTTAGAGATAGTGTCAGGAAAAAAGTGAATAGAAAGTGGACTTGCCAACACAGATATCTGGCCTGATTGTGAAGCCTGACAGTTGCCAACCATTTTCTTTTTACTTTTTTGACTGTCTGAATAGGTCAGATTAGTTTCTCACTTTGTATGTCCTCAGTTTTTAAACTTCTGTGTTGAACATTTATTTCATTTACTGATACAGGTTTGTTTGTTTTTTGAACATTAATTGTTTGTTATGGACTTGCAGATATTACACAGCTGTTGACATTTTCAACATTGTTCATAATGGTTTGTTCTACTGGAGAGCAAGCTGTGACTGTACTTCTGGATACCTGTCTGAAAAATGTGGATAGTAGTTTTTGATAGCAGTTATTCTCCAGTGTGTGATATGACAATTAATTCTCCTTTGTTTTCTACAGGAAGCTTCTAGATCCTGGTTTAGCAGCCTGCTCAAAGCCATCCATGTTTCTTAATCTTATCTATAAATCTCTGAAGGCAGACGTGGTGTTACGGCGAGTGAAGGCCTTCGTGAAGAGGTTGCTTCAGGTCACTACTGGACAGACACCACCCTTCATTTGTGGAACCCTGTACCTTCTGTCTGAGCTTCTGAAAGTAAAACCAGGCCTGAGGGTCCAATTACAGGATCATGTGGTATGACTTCTTTATTCCATAGGGCTAAGAGAGATTTTTCTAACAAATTGTAATAAAACTGAAAAAGAAAAGTTCACAAACATTTTCTTTATTATTTAGGAGTCTGATGAAGAAGAGTGCTTTAAGGATCAAGAAGAGGCTGAAGAGAATGAGGAAACGTTTGTGGATGCAGACAAAGTGGAAAGGGAAGAGAGGAGTGCAACAGAAAATTCTTCTAAAACTAATAATCTGAGTTCAGCAGCCTCATGGGTGCATCATGAGAATATGGGAGGTAAATTAGCAAGAAAACATAATGCATTCAAGTCCTAACATTCAGTAACAGTGACATATTGATCAAAACTGGTAAAATTAATTAGAACATAATTTTAGTTTTTCAAATTGATCAGAATCATTTTTTTTCCTCGTTCTGTTAGCTCAGCAATAGTGAAGAGACTGTATTCATCTTTTAATTGTTTTCTCTAATAGGTTAGTGTGTTTGTGCCTAAGTAATAAACAAACTGGATTTTTTTTCTTCCAACTTGAAAGACATTCAGAGTAACGTAGCCATTGTCAGGATGTGTGTAGGTGCATATTCAGTTGAGCCTTCCTAGAACAACCTGTCTAGTTCTGAGCCGCTTCTAGCTTTGCTCTTTCCTGATGACCTTTTCACAAAGTCATAGAATCATCAGTCTGGAAAAGATGTTCAAGGTCATCAAGTTCAAGCCATCCATCTGACCCACCAAGTCCCATCAATAAAACATATACTGTAGTGACACATCCTCACATCTCTTAAATACCTCCAGGGATGGAGACTGTACCACATCTAGGCAGCCCATTTCAGCACGACTACCCTCTCTGAAGAAATTATTTCTGATGTCCAGTTCAAACCTCTGACACAATGCAAGGCCATTTCCTCATGTGCCATCACTTTTTACCCAAGAAAAGAAACCAGCATCCTCCTACCTGCAAACTCCTTTCAGGCAGTGGTGAGGTCTCCCTTCAACCTCTTGTTCTCCAAACAACAGCCGCAGTTCCCTCAGCCGCTCCTTGTAACATTTATTTTCTAGTCCCTTCATCAACTGTGTTGCTCTTCTCTGCAAACTCTTGAGCAACTCAGTATCTTGACAGCGAGGGTCCCAAAACTGATCATAGTATTCAAGGTGTAGTCTCACCTGTGCTGTGTACAAGGGGACGGTATTTCCCTTCTGGAACAGAGAAGGGGTTTTCAAGGGCTTTCCTGGAAGCAAGTAGGAACTCACCTGTACCACCTGGTCATACTGTGGGCTTCTGGATTTAATCTTTGTCTGCTACTGTATGAATCTGTGGCCTGTCTAGCAAAGAATGATGAACAGCATTGCTGTCACGGTGAAATGAAGATAATACCCTCCTGAGTTTGCTTGAGGAAATGTAATAGTCTTCTCTCTCTACTGTCCCCCAGGGAGAAAGAATGGGGTTTCCTATGATCCTTTGCACCGAAGTCCTTTATACTGTGGTGCTGAAAGTACAAGCCTTTGGGAACTGAAGAAGGTAAAGCATTCTCCTGTTACTGCATACTGTGTTTCTTAGTGTGGTCCTTGTATCAGGAAAAGAAAATTAACTTTGTTATTTTGGGAGTAGTTACCTCAGTCAGACAGAAAGGTTAAAGAACACATTGCTCAGCTCTGAGATTGTACGTGCTGTATTTGGTGCTGTTATTCCAGAGTAGGAATAGTAATTTTGTAGTGGAGATTTGATCTGTGATCTTTTTGAGACTTTTGAATCTTTACTTTTATTAATGAAGTCTTTTGGTGTTTTGTTAAATAAAATTATAGTCATGGGTACTTTTGGTTAATGCTAACGAAAGATTAGAACTTGGCATTCCTTATTTGTTTAAGAGCAGAGCCCCAGTACATGCTTGTGTGTTGTTTGGTGAGTTGCAGAGTGGTCTTCAAACACAGTGTTGTCAGAAGTCTATGACAACATGAAAAACGATGGCATTTATTTTTGAAGTAGAAATAAATAAATGTTTCGTGTTTTTCAGCTTTCTGAACATTTTCATCCATCTGTGGCTCTCTTTGCAAAAACAATTCTAGAAGTAAGTGCTTTTACCTATCTAGCT